TATGGATACAGATATGGATATGGATATAATTACAGATACAGATCATATGGGCAGGAGTCTCTGTATCTTCATCCCCTTCTCTCCTCCTCACCTCTGTCCAGCGTGGAAGTGGAACTCCAAGACAGTAACACACAAAACAGAGAAGTTTGCTTCTCTGAAGAGTTTGGGGAGGGTAAGGGGTAAATTTAGAGAAGTAGAAAGGAGGGATGTTGGCTGAGAGACAGGGAAAGTTAAACATCTGTTCAATGTACATTTCATGTAGACTGAAAATGATTTGAAGAAAACAATAAGGAAAGTCTTTTCAAAAATCCTGTGTGTGTGTGTGCCTGTGTATGTGTGTGTGTGCACTTCCTCACACCAACTGATACACATGCACTCACACACAAATACATGCATTCACAAATAGATATAAAAGTGTGGCCTAGCACGTATACAAAGTTGTTCTGAAGATTTGATGAAATTATAATACATATTAAGAACTCAGTAAAAATAATTGGCACAAGGAACAACCCAACACATCATTAACAAAATTTGCAAGTACACACAGCAGAAGTGGAATTCTGGTGATCTCTCAGTGGCACGATGGTGATGACAATTCTTCTGTTTGCTTCTCTGTACTTTCTGATTTGTCTGCAATCAGCCTCCACTGAGAAGCTGAACAGCATAACATGGTAAAGGAATGAACTCTGAAGCTGGTTGGCCTGGACTTGAATCCCGGTGCTCCACTGCCTTAGGTGGGTAACACTGGGCAAGTTACTCTCTCTGCCTCAGTTTCCCCATCTGTAAATTGGGGATAATGGTCCTAGCTATCACAGGTTGCTGTGAGGATTAGACGAGTTAATATACACAAAGTAGTCTTTGTTGCTGTTTGAAGCACCATCTGTTTCGACGCCTCTGGTGACCAGCTGCAGGTGATGGACTCAAAGAGAAAACGCTCAGATCCCTGATTTCATGCTCTCAGATAATGCCCACTCCTGGGCCATCTCTGGTAGCTCCAGGTGGTGCACCGGTGTTATCCTGGAGGCCCTAAAGGTCCCCAGACAGAGGGAGGGACTTCTACCCCAGGGAGTGCTCACCTGTGAGTCCCAGCAGTAGAGTCAGCAGCAGGCAAGGAGGAGGGGCGCGGGGCCGGGAGGCAGGGATGAGCATCCTGGAGGCCTGAGGAGCCTGCTCTGTTCCAGTGTGTGCTGGGGAGAACCCTGACTTCTGTGTTCTGTGGAGAGGAGGGAAGTCCCGCCTCCCGTGATATAAGAGGAAGCGCCTATGACGGGGAGACATGGCTGTGACAGCAACCTGCTTCTAGATTCTAGACAGTTCCTGCTTCTAGATTGTGAAATAGGAATCAGGAAGAGAAGGCAGCTACAGTTGAGGAGTTACTCAACTTATGTTTTCAGAGAGACATGGACAGGCCTAGTAGAAATATTGCTTCCTCCTGTCAACAAAAGGAATCATTTCCTGACTTCTTTCAGGAGGGGAAGTGGGTTATATGACCAGCAATTACACTCCCAGGCATTTATTTCAGAGAAATGAAAACTGATGTCCACACAAAAACCCAC